CTCTTCACGGGCCTCAATGGTGTTGTTGTTTTCTTGCTGCTTTTCTCACGGGCCTCCTCCTCTGCGCAGTCCTTAATGACATTCACGCAGTGGCCCAACTTCTTCCTCAGTCCCTTGTGGACCTTCTTCTCTTTGCCCATGGCGACATATGCCTCATGCCGCTCCTCCGCCTCCTCTTCTGCTTCTGCTTCATCTTCGGAATTGTCACTGACCACTTCAATTCCTTGTTCATGGTCAGTGCTTTCGTCCTCCTCCTCATCAACTTCTGTGGATGGGGCCTCGGATCCTTCTTCATCTTCTGCTGCTGGGATCATCTTGACTCCCAGATCCTTCTCCAGGAGTTCGAGCCATTCCTCATCTGGCTGTGTTGTGTCTTCCTGGCTCTCATTGCTGCTGCTCTCCTCTTGTTCTGTGCTTGCTTCTCCTTCGCCATCCTGGGCGATGAAGGAAAGTGTGTGAGGTACCTCGCTCAGTACCTTCTTCCTCTCCTCTCCTTCCTGTGAGTGCCAAAACTGCTGTAGCTTGTCGTGCTCCTCCTCTCCTTTGCTCATTAGGTGTATGCCTGGGTGTCTGGTTGGTGTTAAGCTCATGGGGCGCTTCACGCCACATAGCTCCATCTCTCTTGCTCCGAAGCGAAACACCGCTTCCCATCGGCTTAGTTCCGATGGTCCAATGAGGCCAGGGCACATCCTGGCTTCACCGTCCACGCATGACATCCTGATGACATCCGGCTTGTCATGGATCACCACCGGATATAGGAAGGCTTTGTTGCTGACCACAGCCCCGAACCTGTAGAGCTCATGTTCCTCCACTTCACCCCAGGGCACGTGATGCTTCTTCAGCTCCTTCTGAAACTTCTCATGCCAGGGGGCTCCTCCAACTGCATTCCTGCAACCACTGTCTGCGATTGCAAGTCCTGGCTCTCCGATTGCGATTGGGAGGAGGTTCTCGGAGCTTTCATAGGCTTCAGCATGGTTCTCCTCAAGGTACCAGAACTCCGTCACTATTCGTCTTGGTCCTCCTGGCACCTTCTTCCTCCACTCTTCTTCCGTCATGCCTTTGTGGACCTTCGTGATGTCCAACACTTGTCCATGGACATCCTTGGTGATCCTGCAGCAGATCTGGTCTTCCTTTGGTCCTCCTGCGTTCACTCTCTGTGTGAACTTGGCCTCATCTTCTCTCAGCAACACCTTAGCTGTTGTTGGCACATCCTTTGGGGCATCATGCACCATGTCCTCATTTGCTACCATCATCACTCCATGGCGCACGCTCCAGTAGATGACATGTTTGAGGTCACATGTCTTGCACCTTGCATAGTGGCCATCTGCATTGGCCGACCACCGAAGGCTGTCAAAGGGGTGTGAACACTTGGACTGAAACTCTGTGGGGGCTGGTGCTGCTCCTGAGGGGTGAGGTGACCTCCATCACATTGCTCGTCATAGAGCTTGCGGCGAAAAGCCATGAGCTCCTTCTCCTTCACTGGCTTTGGCTTGTCGGACTTTGGATCCGGTGGTATTGGCTGTCCCTTGGCTCTTGGTAGCATTGCTGAAGAAGAAGAGGATGTGCTCACTCCTGGCATCCTCCCCTCTGAGTAGAGGTATCCTTCTCCTCCTTCGTGGTACCTCTCAAATGCACTGAATGCCTCCTTCCTCTCCTCTTCGACCAAAGCCGACCTCAGTGCCTTCTTCTCCTCACGGCTCATACTAGGCAGCACGGCTGCTACCTCTGCTGCATTGAGCCTCAGTGTGGGTGCTGATGCTGCTGCTTTGGCTTTGGCCTTCACGGCTGCTGCTGCTGTTGCTCTGTCCACCTCGAACTGGAAAGGTGGGTGTGTCTCCTCTTCCTGCTGCATCATCCTCTTGTTCTCACTCATCCTCACGTCCTCCTCTGTTCTCGCCCCGCACTGAGGGCAGAAGTTGCTGCCTATGCTGGTGCTGTGTCCACAGACTCTGCAACCTGCTGTGGTGACCGTGTATGTGAAGTGTACTGCTGTTGGCTTCTTGCTGTTTTTTCCATTGGTCTTCCTGTGGGGTTGATCTCTTCCATTCTTCACGTTCACACATTCTGGGTCCCCTCTCCAATGGCCCAACACTCCGCACGAGGAGCACGTTGTTGACTTCTTTCGGACATCCACGGTCTTTCCGTGGGATGCCCCGCCGCTTCCCTTCTTGTCGCTCTTCCAGCCTCTGTTCTTCCTGAACTCTGCTGTCTTCTGCTTTGCCTTCCATCCTGCTGCGAAGACCTCCTTAAGCTCCTCATCATCAATCTCCTCATCTTCTGAGGTGTCCTCTTCGGTTCCTCCATCTTGTGTACCTTCCTCATCTTCTCCTGCTTCTGCCAGGTCTTCCATCTCCTCTTCAAGCTCTTCTGCCGAGCCTTCATCATCTCCTTCCACACCCTCAACATGTGTGTGGTGTGGCTTCTTCTTGAAGGGAAGCTTCCTTTTGTATTTGTCATCTTTGGCTCCTCCCGGATGCGGTGTCCTGGGTACCTGCTTCACTCCTCCACTTCGCCTTTCATCTTCGTGTACCCTGCCACACCTCACCCGGAGGGCCTTCTCGATGTCGACTGAGTTGTAACATGCCCCTGCCGCATAGTAACAGTCGCACCGTTCCCTCCTCGACAAGGATGCTTTCTGAAGCAACTTCTGCGCCCATGCTTTGTCAGAGATTCTTGTGTCAGGGTCAGTCCTATAATACTGAGCCCTGAGTCTCCTCATCTCTGCCAAGAAGTGCGCCATTGTCTCCCCAGGCAGCCTTCGGTATCGCTCCAACTCTCTGTCTGCCCTTTCGAACAGTTCAGCCTCACTTTCTCCGAAGGCCTCGTCGAGGACTTTCCACAGCAGCTGTAAGCCACCTTCTCCGGTGTAAGCTGCGATGGGGTGTTGTTCCACCACATCCCTTGCTTCCTTTCTTGTGCTGAGATACACCAGCATACTCAGCTCTCTTCCTTCCAGGCCATACAAGTGCTGCTGAGCCTCTATGGCCCGTTTCCATTTTTGATACCTTGACCTATCTCCCCAATACTCCTCTATGCGGACTGATCCCAAACTGCTCTTAGGCCTAGTCCATTCCTGATCTTTCTTGACCCTTTTGTTCAACATGGACCGCAACTCTGAAGTGCCAGCACTAGAGGCGACCTCTTCTGGAAGATCAGCATCATCATCTCCTGGCTCCGGCGGATCTCCACCAGGCGAACTAGGAGGCTTCTCCTTCTGAGGAGTCGCTGGCTTCGACCATGATCCGAAGCTCGCTGAAGTACCTGGCACATCGGCTGCTGTCGGTTGTGCAGTTGGTGGGACATGAGTCGGCATGTGGGGCATCTGTGGCATCTGTAAAAATGGGTTCATTGTAGGCCAGGGCCATGGTGAGGTCATTGCCCATGGCATAGCTGTATGTCCATGTGGATATACTTGGGGAGGAACTCCATGGGGTACTTGTGAATGCCAATGTTGAGGACAAGGATGTACATGTGGTATCGCATGTGCTGCCATAGTCGATGAAAAAGGTGGATACATCCCATTGACATTCGGTGGTTGAAACCCTGGAACCCCATGACCCAAACATCCATGTGGCGATGATGGCATGTGCATTTGCCCTGGCATCTGTGGCTGCATGGTGGGGTGCGCCCCTCCATTCATTCCAGCTACACCCTGTGGACCCAAAACTGTTGGAATAGATCCCATTGTATTTGCCCCAGTTGACGCATGCTGGGTGGGGTGCTCTGTTGAGGTTGGGGGCACAGTATTCCCATTCAACTGTGCTCCACTCCCCACATCGCCTAGCCCACCTTGTTGTTTCTGAGGCATCCAAGGGTCTTGTCCTGTGGTCACCCACTCGTCCTCAGGGACTGGAGTCGCCACCGCCGCTGCCGCTGCAGCGTTCACGCCGGCCGCCGCACTTGCGCCAGCGCCGCCCGTCTCGCCATGATCCTCATTCGCTGGCGCCGTGCTACCCGCTGGCTCAGCAGGATCCTGCACTGGCTGCTCAGCGGCCATTGCCCTAGATCGAATGCAGCAGGCAGCCTAGGTCCTAAAACCCAAAACTGCCCTCAAACACTCCGCTGCCAATGTGGCCGAGGGAGCCACCCTCGCAAAAAGATTCAGTGGGAAAAGCCCAACTTAAACCAAGGCGTTCCAAAAGGGGGTAATCAGCAAAGCAATGCAAAAGCAAGCAGTGGGCCTTTTGCTGCGAATGCAACATCGATGTCTTGAGATACGGCGATCAGTCAAAATGAAGGCAAGTGCTCATGCCGTGATAACACTTCTCGATTTGTGCCTCTTGTGCACACCTTGATCAATCACAGAGACAACCAGTATGGCGTTTTTACATGTTTTTACCCGCCTTCACTTTTTTCCCTGAACATGACGTCGTTTTTGTGCATGTATCCATTGAATGTTTGAACTAGTGTCCAGCGGTGCATCCGGTGTAGGCCAAGACAAAGCACATTATTTCAGACAGCAACTTTGGTGAAGTTGCGCAAGAAAGGACGACAAGCAAAGTGGCAAACAAGTTGGCCGAAATAGTTCTTAGGGAAGCCTATTATTTGTTGTGAGACAAAAAACACATTTTGCCAAGACTTTTTAGTTTCAATTTCACACTTGCATACACTTGGTGTATATTGTTATTGTTCTAGCTTAGCGCGAGGTGTCCCAGTAGCATTCAATGACGAAGCTCGGCCTTCCAATTGTTACCTGTTCCCGCTGCTGCCAGAAATACCAGCTTAGTCATTGTGGGCCGAAGGCTGAAAGTAAACCGTTTTTGCGAGATCGTTGGCCCATGCGGGGTCGGGTGATAATTGCATCGCCGTTTGGTTGGGCAAAGTCGCAGTTTGCATTCTCAAGACGCATAGCTAGCAAAATCCCAAACAGATTGTAGGATCAACTGCAGCTGCGCAAAGCAAAAAGAATCCAAAACGACAGGATGCCTCTGATTGTTTGGGCAGCGATGCACTAAGATTTCGCATCAAGTTGTTGGTTGCTTTTTTTGGTGCCGTCACAGGCGGAGACGGACGCAGAAAAGATCTCCAGGCACATGGCTTACCCAGCAACTACAGCTGATGCAAATGGGTCCAAACCCCAACGTTTAGTTCTCTGATGTTTGTTGGATAGAATAGACACATGCCATCAGTATCCATCAGATGCTTGGAGATGCTGGGAGGTAGCCACAGGATCTTGAATTCAGTTTCCCTTGGGTAACCATTTTGTAGAGTGTTGGCTGGGCATCCCAAGTTTGCTGTTGAGGGACCTGTGGGGTGCTGTGACAAATACGCCTAAATACGCAAAGACATCGCTGAAACGAATAAACTGGAAAAAGATGGAACACACTAGAATACAACCAAAGAACCAGAAATAGACCGAAAACATATTCAAGAGATACCCCAACACCCCTGTGCTTTGCATTGTGCAAGCAACGCCAATCGCCAAACCAAGACAAACCGGACAGAAAAAAGGCTGACAAGACAGGGCACATCTACGACATAAAAAATGAGAACTCACAGCCCCAATATAATAGTTTTGAGCTCCTTTGATCACTAAAGAAACGGTCTCCTCTACTGCAAAATGCAGGGGAGAGAGGGTTTTGGATGATTTTGGCTGGAGCATGCTGGAGCTGGTCAGTTTATACATTATTTGAGGTTCGGAACGCCCTTAATCCATTGACATGTTTCTGTAGGCTTGATGTGCCAGCCAGCGGCACATCTGAAGTTGGTTGGAAAGTCAACTTTTCAGAGGTTTCGGGCAGTTTGTTTGCCTCACAACTTCATTTTATTTAGAGCGCTAGTTGGCTTACTGGGTAATGACAATTTTTGTAGCAGCAAATGGTACCCCGGAAGATTTTCAACGGTCTCCCATGCTGTGCATGCCTTCAGGCCAGACAGTTTAGAAAAACATGCCTGTTTCACCGCGAGGCTTGAGAGAGAATTGCATGCAGCACGACAGCGAGTCAAATATCTGCAGAGCACCATAGATTGCCAAAACGAGGTGAGGTGTGCTGGTTTCGCACCACCAATGGATATTGTACTATACATCGGGGCCATGCGAGTTTCCGGGTTGGGAAAAACATGATGGACGGAGTTCCACAAACCAACAGCTTCAGCGCGGATAGAACCGATTCAATACACCAAGGGACCGGACCAATGTGGTTCTTGAAAAAACCTTAAGAAGTAATCATATTATAATGGTTCAATTTGCGCCATTGCCCTGAATCATTTTATTGCTAGGTCCGGACTCATCCAAAATTTATGATTCCCATATTATGTTATCTAATGTTAGATACAGATTTTGCAGTGCCAGGAGAGAGCACGCGAAGCGCCAGCCACTTCCTCAAAGGCCAGATCGTAGATTCAGAAACATTGGTCAACTGGTGATCTGGAGGGTCTCGTGAATGTTGGTTTTCGGAAATGCCATCCTGAAACCAGCCACTGGTTTGACTCATCAATGCAACGCGCAAACCCACTCACGCGCCTTCGGGCCACGTCCGAAGGAAGGTCCAGAAGCCATCGCAGAGAAACTGAACAATCTTTTTTTTCCACAGAAACACGTGTTTAACCTCGGCCCAGCTTAGCGGGAATTAGTTGGGCATTTTTTTTTTCTCTCAATGTTTGTTGGTTTTTGGGCCTGCATTGAGGGCCCGTTGTGAAACCATGATGTGATGTTAGCCAATGATTTTCAAGCACTGCATATCGTTGTGGTTTGCTTGCAGCTGCTGGTAGCTGTTCTAAAGCTGATATGGGATCCTGAGGAAGTGGGAACAACCCGGAATTTGAGTGGAGTTCGTGTTGCTTTGAGTCAAATGCGTGGTCCAATAAATCCCTGATGATCCATGAGTTTGGGGTAGTTATCTGGATTCAAACTAAAACATGTGATGCTTACAACATGGGTTGATCATATTATCCAATTGTACGTGGGAAGATGCTTAAGAAACTCATTTAGTTCAATGGGTTTGTTGCAAGCTTCCCTTAAACATAATCTTGGATAGAACCGATTCGATGCAAAACATGACTGGACCATTGTGTTTCTTCGAAAAACAATCCAGTAGTGGTCCAATGTAGACTGCCTGTTCTATGAACTATTTCATTGATAGGTCGACGGTCCGGACTCATCCAAAATTCCTGATTCTCATATCATGTTTTGCAGCATCTGCCAGGAGAGAGCACGCGAAGCGCTACTTCCTCATAGGCAAGACCGTAGATTCAGACGATTTTGGTCAACTGGTGATATTATCTAAGATATCTTAAAGGTCTCACCCTTATCGTGACTGCTGGTTTTCAGACGAAAAACTCCAGCTGCTACTGAGGCCTACACGACTAGTGAAGCATTGCTTGAATGTTTGTAGCAATTTCCGAGCGGAAATGCCATCCCGAAACCAGCTGCTGGATTGACTCATCAACGCAACGCGCAGGCCCACTGACGCGCCCTCGGGCCACTTCCGAAGGAAGGTCCAGGAGCCATCTCAGCGAAACTAAACAAACCTGTTGTTTTTCCACGGAGACATGGTGTTTCAACCTGGATCCAGTTAGCAGGAATTAGTTGGGCAATTTTCATAGATGTCATAGTCTCGATGTTTGTTGGTTTTTGGCCTGCATTAAGGGTCTGATGTGAAACCTTGATATATCATGATAGTTTAATAAAGTTTAACAGTTATATCAAGTTATATCAGTTATATCTCGCTAGCCAATGATTTTCAAGCACTGCATATGGTTGTGGTTTGCTTGCAGTTGCTGGTAGCTGTTTTAAAGCTGATATGGGATCCTGAAGAAGTGGGAACAACCCGGAATTTGAGTGGAGTTCGTGTTGCTTTGAGTCAAATGCGTGGTCCAATAAATCCCTGATGATCCATGAGTTTGGGGTAGTTATCTGGATTCAAACTAAAACATCTGTTGCTTACAACATGGGTTGATCATGGTTGATCTAATTATCTAATTATATGGGGGAAGATGCTTAATTAAGATTCCAGTGTGAAATGTACATGTCAGTCGGATTCTCTAACATGAACTTATGTGGACATCTGGGCACGAGCCCCCTTAGCATAGCCGACGATCAACCAAAAGGCGCGATGGATCTACCACCTGTGTACCATAGTTGAGGTGCACAGGTGGTAGCGGAGCTGCCAAAACCAAGAGCAAACGCTGTTGGATTGGGCAGAGCGACAGAGGATTGGAACGTGGACTATGTCAGGGAGCAAGGATGACACAAACGCAAGAACAAACTTAGAGACCTTCTCAGGAGAGGATGCGTCAGAATACCGTAGATGGAGACGAAAGGCAGAACTGTACTTGATGGGGCTACCCACAACGGTCCCTGAGAGCAAATGGGGAGCCAGACTAGTTGAACATCTACGGGGAGAAGCGGAAGAGTTGATGGAACACGTAGAGCTGAGTACCATCACTGATGACAAGGGTTACAAAAAGGTGTTTGAACTTCTTGACGAGCGCTACAAAGAGCTGGACAAGGACGAGCTTCAACGCTGTCTCAAGTCGTACTTCTATGCGGCGCCAATCAAGAACCAGGAGACCTATAGGAACTTTGTCATACGGATGGACACAGCCTACAGAGGGCTGACACGGCACAAAGTAGAACTACCTGAGCCAGTTAGAGGGTGGATTCTACTGAAGAAGCTTCTTTTGGACTCGACATCTGAGGCCCTGATCATGACGTCTACATCGGGGTCACTGAACTACACAGATGTCCTAGGAGCTCTCAAGGCTGTGTTCCCAAATGGCCAGGGTCCCGGAGTGAACCCAGGCAAATCAAAGGACAAGGAGATCTTCATTGCCCAGGAAGACAGTGAGACACCAAATGAGGCCACTGAACTTGAAGTACCAGGCAACGATGACTTCTTAGAGGTCATGGAAGCAGTCGCCACTCAAGCTCAAGAACAGAGTGACTATGAGTCTGAGGATGCATTGGAGGTGTTCGAGAACTACTCTAGCATTCGAAAAAAGATGCAGGAGAAGAAGACCTCTCGTGGCTTCAGACAAGTGAACACGACTGAGAAACAATGGAAGCTTGAAGGAAGCGTTCAAGGAAAGCTGTCACTCTTGAAGGCAAAGACCAGATGTCATCACTGCAGGAGAATGGGTCATTGGAAGAAGGAATGCCCGCTTCGACAAAATCAAGGCAAGAAGAGCGAAGGAGGCCAGAAGGAGGTCCACATTGTAGAGAGCTACAGTGATGACGAGGCCTTCTTTGAGAGCTATGTCCTAGACGAGGTCAAGGGCAAGGACTATGAGCAGGAGTACCACGGGTACCAGGAGACTGACACCAAGACCAAGACGGAGACACAGAAAGACCAGGGTGCCAAGAGGAATCGAGACATATGGGTCTTAGACAAGGAAATGGGTGTCTTGGAACGCATCCATCAGAAAGAAAGGAAGGGACTTTTCACACCACATGGAGTCAAAGATCTTCCTATCGCCATGGAGGAATTCTCGGGCGAACGGGAGACAATCATGATCAATGTGGCCACCGGAGAAAAGAGTGTCATCAAGGACAACTACCATACGACCAGAGTGCCCCATCAGAAGATGGACTACAACTGGTGTGGAAAGACAAAACTCTACCTGAAGACCATGGACCAGTCCAAGAAGTCAAGTACCTCGACTAAGGTGGTGGATCCAGATGCTCAGCTGCGACTTTTTGAACATGAAGTACTGAGCGCAATTCATGAGGGGGCGCAGCCAGTTTTTTCCAAGTCTGACCAGGCAGCAACCCTGGATTCTCACGCAGTTCCCGACACGGCATGTCGCCGTACGCTGATCGGTGATTATGTGCTGTCATTGCTTGAGTCTAGGTTGAATGAGAAGGGTCTCATTGTGACTAGGCGTAGAGAAGTTAATGAATTCCGTTTTGGGAACGCGGGGATTTTGAAGTCTTGTGAAGTAGCTAGCATACCGGTTACTATTGGGGAAAGACATGTGGTTGTCAATGCAGCAGTTTTGCCTGAACCAGGCAGCCGAACACCGTTTCTCTTTTCAAAAGAACTGTTGAAGAGTTTGGAATGTATTCTTGATACTACTACTGATGAGATGGTCTTCAAAAGAATCAACCAGCGAGTGAAGATGGGGAAGACAGAAAGGGGCCACTACGCAATACCAATACTGCCACGAGAGTTCATCTACAAGAAGCCGTCAGCGGTTCAAGGTGAAGAGACTGCCTCGAGGAAATCTGAGTGCCATGTATCGCACGCAGGAAGTGCCAATGACACCACTGGCACAAGAGTTGATGAACGGGCTCATCGTGGAAGACAAGATCGACATGACCCAGGAAGAGATCGATCGCTACAGCGACCACGAGGAAGACGAGCCAATGAAGCCAGTTCATGGACAGGAAGTGATGAAGGCCGGCAAGTACAAGAACACTCACAACATGGAGTATGCCTACACTCAGGACAAGAAGCATCTGAAGTGGGTGCGCTCCAACATCCAGCCACAGGGTTCAAGTCCAGAGATGAGGCGTTACCGCCTCTATGTGGAGATGAGAGACCAGAAGAAGAGTCAGAGACTCTTGAGCCGAATGGAACAGCAGCGTCCAGTTGCTCCTCAACCCAAGACCCATGTGGCAGCAATGACCACAGCCAAGGCGAAGGCAAAGTCAGTGGAACCACCAGCGAGCTCAAGACGTCGAGAGAGAGAGAGGGAGAAGGATGGTCTCACGAGATGACAGCGATGGAGATGGACTACGACGAGTACAAGACATGGGCATTTCTGGACGAGCTAGAGAAGGAAAAGAACCAAGAGCAGCAGAATCAGATGTGGCAGGAGATCGTCACACATGTGGCAGAGCAGAACCCAGAGAAGGCACAGAAGATGATGCAGGTGTCCGAGATCATGGGCATTCACATGGCATGGAAGATGTTCAAGGCAGTCGAGGAAAAATAGAGCCACTGGAGGAAGTGAGCAGAAGTGTGATAGAAGCGGGGCTGGACAAGATTGAGCGGGAAGCTCAAAAATGTAGATGTGATGTGATGATTATTAGCCAAACCTCCCTATCACAGCATGAGGTGGCGGAGATTTTCTCTGTTCCACGAGTAAGTCAAGCAGCTGCAGCTGTGGGACTGAAGTGTGGACCGTCGTATGACATACTTACCGGTGTTGACTTGCGCGACAAAAAGGAGCGTGACCGAGTGCGGGAGGAACTTAGGGTGAGAAAACCAAAGCTGCTGGTGGTGTGTCCACCATGCGGGCCCTTTTCCCCACTCCAAAATTTGAGAAAACACTGGGATACCAAGGAATGGTTGAAACAACTTTATGAAGGGAAAATCTTTCTGAGATACGCTGCACAGCTGATTCAGGACCAAATGGACAGGGGTGACATCTTTGTTTTTGAGCATCCCTTGAGAGCGAAGTCATGGAATGATGTTTGCATGCAAAGGCTCTTGAAAAATGACCAGGTGCACAGGGTTGCGGCTGACCAGTGTATGTTTGGTTTGAAAGACAGAATCAGCAAAAGACGTCATAGAAAAAGTACGTGTATCATGACTAACAGTAAACATGTGGCTCAAGAAATGGAACTGAAGTGCAGTCAAGACCATGAACATGAACCAATCATGGGACAGGTGCGGATCGGAGGACAATGGGTGTCTCGTTCAAAGCTGGCTCAAGAGTACCCCCAACAATTTGTCAAGGCTCTTTTAAGGGGTTTTCTGAGGGACATGCATGAGAGAGAACAGAGTCATGTAGTTCATTGTGTTTTGACGGTCGAAGGGTTGGACGAAAACAAACAAGACGACAAACGGATTGCTGTGTTGCTGAAACGATGTCATGAAAACCTTGGACACCCTTCCACACCACGGTTCATTGGAATGCTGAAAGCTGCTAGGGCTACGGAAAAATGTATCCAAATCGCTAAGGGTCTTAGGTGCACGACATGTGAACAGTTCCAACAACAGAAATCTCACCATGTTTCCAAAGCCACCCCCATTTATCATTTCAATGATGTGGTTGCCATGGATACGTTTGAAGTTGAGCTTTCTAGGAGAAAGTTGAAAGTGTTGAACATCATTGACCTGGCCACCCATTTCCAGATGTGTGTTCCCTTATGGAAAGGAATTGAAATCAAAAGGATTAGGAAGGCATACAGGTGTTTCTGGAAACGTTGGGCGGGGCCCCCCAAAAAGGTGATTACCGATGGTGGGGGAGAGTTTGGACAAGAGTGGACGGACATGTTGTTTAGGGACGGGTCAATACATGAGACTACAGCAGCCTACAGTCCGTGGCAGAACGGAGTATGCGAACGTGCAGGAGCAACTTGGCAGACGGCTTTTCAAAAAGGGTTACTGGAAGTTGACCCCCAAAGTAAAGAGGAAACCGAAGAGCTTGCCGACCAAATAACTAATGCACGTAACACCTTGGTTAGAAAAGAGGGATACTCTCCATGTCAGCATGTGCTTGGACAAGATGTGAGAATACCTGGATCCATTCTCATGATCGACAGAAATGAACAAATGGAGTCTGCTCTTGAACAAGGAGAGAAGACACATGAAAGAGCACATAGGATCAGAATGGCAGCCAGGAAGGCGTTTTTGGAAGTAGACAGTGAAGACAGGTTGCGTAGGGCACTTAGTCACAGAACCCGACCACAGAGAGGGCCTTTTTCGCCAGGCCAAGAAGTTTTAATTTGGAGAAAGGGTCGTGGGCAAACAAAGTGTCACTGGCAAGGACCTGGGAGGGTTGTTGGAGTGCACTCGGACAAGGTGTGGGTTGCGTTTGGTGCCAAGATATACCGTTGTTGTCCTGAACAAGTTAGGCATCAGAGTAGAGAAGTGCAAGACTTGGCAAGGTGGATTCCAGAAAACTTGAGAATCCACAGAAACAATCTGAGAGAGAGGGGGGCAGGAAATGTCGTGGAATTAGACCGACAGCCTAAGCCTCCTGACTCAGAGCATGAACATGACATGGACGTTGATGGAGGTCAAGACATGAGCATGAACATGGAACATGACATGCATGAGTTTGGTGACAGGCAAATGCAAGAACGGCACTGGCCACAGGAACATCATGTGGACAGTGATCAAATCATGGACACTCCAGAATCTCCCGCACGGACCATGTACAGTCCGAGCATGGGTGTGTCAGTGAACCAAGAGCAGGAGAGTCAAGGATCGGACATGCAGACTGAGGACAAAGATCCAATAATGGAAAATGACACACATGGCATGGAACAACATGACACGGGACAGCATGGCATGGAAAGGCATGGCATGGAACAGCATGTGGAGCAAGAGACGGGACAGCAGGGTTCACAGCCTTCACATAGCATGCAGAGACCAGGTAATGAGCCAGCACTTGAATATGGACCAGTAAGGACGACAAAGCTTACTGAAGCTATGAGAAAAAGCCTGGACAACCTGGATTTTGGAAGACCACGACATGACACACCACAGAAACCAAGCGATCATGCTGCGAATGATGCGTTTGAGTGTGAGTTGTTGCATGACACATACTTGCGTAGGAAACTTGAGGAGTGTGCTACTTGTCATGTTAGTGATGATGTGTTCATTGCCACTGTGAAAAAGGCAGGTAGGAAGGAGATCAACATCAAGAAACTGAACAATGACAGACTAGATGAACTGGTCAATGCAAAGGCCAAAGAGTGGGCGAAGATGATTGACTCCGGAGCTGTTAAAGTGCATGTTGGAGAAGCTGCAAGGAGACTGGTAGAAACGCATGGCGGAAAAAGGTTACTTGAGAGTAGGTACGTGTACACCACGTCTGATGGAAAAGACACTGGGCCCTTGAAAGCAAGGTGGTGTATAAGAGGTTACCTTGACCCTGACATACTTGACCTTGCAACCGCCGCACCAACCTTGTCACCCGAGGGGTTTGCTACAGCCGTCCAAATGATTACCTCAAAGAAATGGAAAATGAAGATCGCAGACATTGAAGCTGCCTTCTTGAGAGGTGATGATATGAAAAGGACACAAGGCAAGGTGCTAGTAAAAGTACCGAGTGATGGCATACCCGGAGTTGACAGTGAGTCAGTCATAGAACTGATAAAACCAGTATACGGGTTGGCAGACGCACCACGACTGTGGTGGAAGTCACTGACGAAGACACTGGGAGAACTGGGAATGCGACAGTCAAAGCTGGATAGTTGTGTTTTTCACTACTGGGACCCCGAAACTAACGTGTTGGATGGAATTATTGCGTTTCATGTGGATGATCTGATAATTGGTGGCAGTGAAAAGTTTTATGATGATGTTTTTGGGAAACTGCAGTCGAAATATCCTTTCAAACATGTGAAAGACAAACAGGGTGAGTTTTTGGGTAAACAATTGGTTCAATGTGATGATGGGACTTTGTGTATCCAACAAAAGGAATATGCGAGTGCCATGGCATGTATTCCTGTGTCAAAAGAGAGAAGGCGAGAAAAAGAAAGTCCCATCACGGAGAACGAGAGGGGACAAATGCGTGCAGTGCTTGGTGAAATCAATTGGTTGGTTTCTGGAAGCCGACCTGACCTAGCTGCTTCATGCTCACTTCTTCAACAAAGAGTGTCAAAAGCTGTTGTTGGTGATTTGATTGAGGTTAACAAGGTTGTTTCTCAGGTTCATGATCATTCCAACACTGAAATCAAGATTTTTCCTATTCCTATTCAAAACTTGGAAATTGGGGTTTGGTCTGATGCGTCTTTTGCAAATGCTGAAGCACACAAAAGTCAGGGAGGGTATATGGTTTGCGCAGTGGAAAAAGGGCTCAAAGAAAATAAGTGGTCAAAAGTCTCTCCATGGAGATGGCGTAGCTTCAAGCAGGACCGACAAACTGCTTCGACTCTGGGAGCAGAGTTATTGACTATGTCAAGGGCAGTGGCTGAGGCGAAATGGTTACGATCAATGTGGACAGAAATGACGTGTCCATCATATACCCTGGAGAGTGACAGAGAACTCACGAAACAAACTGCTATCGTGCTCTCAATAGACAGCAGACCTGCATATGATCACTTGCATGGACAAGTCATGACAATCAAGGACAAGAGGCTGGCAATTGAGATGCTTCTGATGAAACAAGACATTGGGAGCGAAAATGTGCTGGTAAAATGGCTTCCTACAGATCTGATGCTAGTAGATGGACTGACAAAGTTAGGTGCACCTATGATGCTGCTTCGGAGAGTGTTACGAGAAGGCAGAGTGATACTACAAGAGAATGATGAGATGACCAAATGGGCCGGCAAACTTCAAAAGAAACTCAAAAGTTGATTCTTTTCTGTTGTTTTTGTGTTTGGTGCTGTTGTTTTGTGTGAAAAATGGAAAGAGAGACGGTGAAGCGTGTAGAGAATCCATTAGGGGACGTGTGAAATGTACATGTCAGTCGGATTCTCTAACATGAACTTATGTGGACATCTGGGCACGAGCCCCCTTAGCATAGCCGACGATCAACCAAAAGGCGCGATGGATCTACCACCTGTGTACCATAGTTGAGGTGCACATCCAGTGTTTTTATCATTATAGTTCAATGGGTTTGGTGCAAGCTTCCCTTAGACGCAATCTTGGATGACGATGAACGTTGAGCAAAACCTGTGGTGTCCGGTCCCTACCCCGGACATCTCATGACATTTGGTAGGCGTCTTCGGTGCACCGCTGGGCCCTGAGGGACAAACCAGGGGGTAGCCTTGTGGCGATTTATTTGCATCTTGGGAATGTTGTGCCAAACGACCCAGTCCTAGTTTTGTGTGACTTTGGATTGTTGATACCCATGGTTGATTTCCTTTTCTGTTCCCCACCTTGCTATACTCATCCTTCTCTTCGTCCTCCTCTTCGTTTCTCCTCCCCTCATTGCAAGCTCGCAGACGTTGCGTGCCCCATTGGCCTCCTCTCTACAGCGATGCCAGACAGCACGTCAAAAGTCATGTCAGAGCATGTCGGGATAAATGTCAGAATACAGTAAATATCATATACCAGACCAGGAAAAAATGTGTGTGACTTTATGGCAGAGTATTTGGAAGCATCAATGTCAACATATTGTATATGGCGGAAACCATGTGATGATTTTATGCCAGATACATGCCAGGATGTTTTTCAGGATATATATGTCAAGACACATGTCAGCATATGTCAGAAGACATATTGGAATTTATGTCAGAGTTAGTCAGAGTTTGTGTCAGTATACGCATCAGAATGCATGTGGGGATTGTTGTCGGTATAAATGCCTGAATGTATGTCAAAACATGTTGTCAGAAAACATGTTAGATTTCATGATATGTTTTGTTTCTTTATTTTTGGTTCCGTGAAAGTGTATATATCAACATATATGGTGATCGATCTAAAGGTCCTTGTAAGGATTTTTAATTGCGAAAGCCGTGCATGTTATGTTGGAAACCCTTGCGAAAGTTTTTTTTCGAGTTCGCGAAAGTAACTTTTTTTTTTGCGCGAAAGTTTCGCGAAAGTTGGATATTATAATTTATAATCATTATGTAAAGGGCTGCCACCCACTGCCGCCCGGGGTCCGGCAGGAGAAGGGCACTAGAGAATTTCGGTTTGGTTCTGGTTCAGCTCCCTGTGTGTTGGTGCTTGTGGACAATCACACCCTTCATAGGTAGCAGCCGAGCTTCCAAAGGCGAGGCTTCGCGACAGCCAAACGCCATGGTCCCGAAGCGCATCCTTGCACCTGCCCCTGTCGCTGCCTAATGATGCTTTTTGAAGTCTCAAGAAACAAGCTCCAAACGCAGTAGCCAAGTTTCCAAAAGCGAGGCTTTGCGAGAGCCAAACACCAAGGCCCCTGGTGTTCGCTTTTCCTTCAATGCACCCCCTGCTGATGGCCGGGGTCTGTGAATAGGGATATTTTCGCGAAAGTTCTGCGAAAGTTATGCGAAAGAGCGGGCGAAAGTCAAAGTGCATGTTGAAGGGGGTGGGCCAGTAAACCTTGCCAAAAAAACCTAGTCAGCAACAATCTGCCCTGAGAAGGGATTCCGTGATGCTAGCTGCATGTTCAAAAGGCTATCAAGAAGTGATCCGTGATGCTCTGGCGTAATTTAGCAGGTGGTGAACGAATCTTTATAAGAGGTGTTGTTGGCCAACATGGGCCCCGCGAAAGATAAACATGGGGTTCGCGAAAGTTTCGCGAAAGTAAAATTTTTATTCGCGAAGAATGGCCGTTCCCGGATAAAGGAATTTTGATCAAAACCCATATATATATAACCTAAATGCCATTATTGCGAATTTAATATGCATTTGCATCTATTCATGATTTGTGTTCATGTTTTTGTTAAGGTGGAAATCACACGAAGTGAAGTAGCTGCTCAAACCATCCAATTTGCTGAGTCGTTCTCTTGAACCAGGACCAAGTGAAAGAACTCCAGCGTTTGCGGCTCAGGCGTTGAACCAGAAAAATTATGACCATCCTGCAATCCCCTGGGCGCACATCAAAATGATGGCCGAGACGAAAATATGTTTCAGTTCAGGTGGTTGCCAAACCCATCCCTTCTCGAAAAAATCAACACCCAGCAGAAGCACTGGTATACCACTGGTTTAGTGCTGGATTTGTTCATTTTGAGGAGTTCAGATGACAATGAGTGACAAGGGGGGGGATATGATTAGTTCAGGTCTGGCACCGAGAAAATAGTTCCCCCAGATCGTTTCAGCGCGAGTGGTCGCGCGAAAAGATTGCTGAGCCGCGTGTGACCAAGGCTCTGACTCTCCACCAGCTTTATGTTGCCAACGTATCACAGACATCACCACCACATCCTCAAATCCACTTGTTTGATTCAGATCGCTCCAGGTGGACCTCAGATTGTGCAGGTGCAGATTGCCCAGACAACAAACTCCCTGCCATTTCCATGGTTGTATCATGTTGTATCATGTTGTATCCCGTACTGGTTGTGGATCTTCACTGTAAGAAGTGTCAGTTGTGTGTCATGTGACCCTGAAAAATGGTTTCAGTGACAGATCTTTTCGCACCTACAATCTTTGGGCTCAAACCGGGGGCTGAGCACGGAGAGGGAGATGGATTGGTGGGATCAACGTGGGGGTTCTCAAGTTGGGGACGTCACTCTTCTGTTGCATTGGCCGTGGTCACTTGACCCTGCCCTGCAGTTTGCATCCCAAAATGAACAGTCTATTGGTTTGTTCATTTTGTTCTGTATCATTCTGTATCGATTTCTGGCCTTTTCATCTTGGCATAGATAGTTGCCCTTTTGCTATGGTTCAAACTCATTTTGTTCCTTGGAAATTGGATGGGTGAGCATATTACACAGGATGGCCAGCCATTTGGGTTGCTGAAAGGTACTTGTACCCCATATATGGTTTACAACAGCTGGATTTGTACTCAATTCCGATAGTGATATGTCCATGTCATCATGGTTTTCCACGGGTTTTCATGGATTTCCCATGGTTTTCCCATGGATTTCCCATGATTTTCTCATGGATTTCCCATGGATTTGCTGCTTGAATATTCCTTCAATTGCCCAAGGTGGAGACGTCTTTCAGAGATGATCTCCAGGCGAGAGTCCATAGGGATTTCGCCAAAAAGGAGGGGGGGTTCAGATGGTTTCAGCCATCAGAATCATAGATAATCATGAGGATTTTGAAATATTATAGAAATCAAGAACAGATCTTATTTATCATCAATCCTCATTGTTAATTATAACATCATATGATCATAACAGATAATGGCTTAACCAATTATAACAGGTGATAATCTCAAGAATAATGGGGATTTAAGCCATCAATCATAGCAGATAATCATAATCATGGAGGGTTTTCGAACATCATGTCCAAAGGAATTTAAGGATTGATGGTATAATTCCATTGTAATACACTGTTATATAATAAACAATGCCCATCAGAATATTGAGCCAAATATCAAATATCTGAAAACCAAACGGGAATTATACCAGAACTTGATGGGGAGATTGCATGGATTTAACCATCACACATATGGGCATAATTAACATGAAATAAGAAGTGTTTTAAAAGGGCCAGATGGGGGGTATTGAATTGCTTCAACAAAGGCAACAATAGCAGAATTGGTGAACAGAATCCACGGCATCTTAAACCATGATCATATTGAGCCAAAAAATATTTGGATGGTACAGTAGATGATCCAAGGACTCCTGCAAGTCTGAACTTAAACCATCTGAGTGAATTTCACCATCCAACACAAACACATCTCATCTCATCCACAGTAGCATTCTGGATGGCTAGGTCCCAAGAAATATTAAGGTCCATGGATTTCCGACCATCCGATGGGAAGCTGAGGAGTCTCATGGTCCTGCAGCCTTTCACTGGGCACTTAGAAGCGTATGGAGAGAATCTGTGTGAAACATTGACCTTTCTCATCCAACGCAGCCCCAAAGTTGAACATGGAACCCCCAAAAGAGCCATATGCCATACCCGATAGTAAAGCATGTTGGGGGTTTCCATGTTAGATGTAGGGGGTGTAAATGTTGAGTGAGCATGATCCAGTTAGCTCGGGTCTGATCTTTTTTGAAGTACAGTCGGTACAGTGTCAAAAGATACCACGGTAGCTTCCAGCTACTGGCGACTAAACACCTTCCGAAGAACTGCAGAATCACCTTCCGCGCAGCCATGGCGGTCTCGCCAACCAACAAGCAGGGCAAAACCACCTACTACTTTGAGGTCCGAGTGAATTGGGATAAGTTGATGGCCATCGATCAGCACCCTAGCTTTGCTTTGGTGTTTTGTATGTTGTTTTCACTGAGCAAATTCGGAATCCACTGAATGTGATTTTAATTGCTTGGGTGATATTGGGTGCGTTAATTTAGTTTCTAGGGTTAAACACATCAGTTTTGCGGGTTGAAAACAATTTCTTGTTGGGGGCCAACCTTCAATTTTGAAAAAAAACATTGTTGTTCACGATGTTTTTTCCCCTCATCATGTCCAGCTTTCCATCGTTTTTCTACAATTTGACCCCCCCCACTTATGCTTGTTGGTTTATGTTAACCCAGTCAACTATACATCTAGATATATCTACTTCTAACATCTTCTAACTCAACAGTAAATCCAACAATCAGATTCCAGCAACCTACATAGAATAATCTTGATCGAAGGAAGTTTAGAAGTCAAACTTCCCACAATATGACAGATGAAAAGCAGAGCTGGAAAGGGTCAGAGAGAAGAGAAAGATTAGAAGAGAGAAGCGTAGAAGAGAAAGAGTCAGAAGAAAGAAGATGCAGATGCGCGAAAAGGTAGGAAAGTCGCGAAACACTGTGTTTTTCCAATGTTTTGTGGCTCCGGAGGGTCGAAAAGTAGGCTCGCTAAAGCGGCGGGTGCAGAGCCAGCTGGCCAGATGAGAGATGAAAAATTGCACGCCGTTGTGGCGCGAAGCACATTTCCAAGTCAAAATGTACAAAGCACACCAGCTTCGGACCATTTTTACTAGTTGAGATGTCGAAAAAATGCACGCCGTTGTGGCGCGAGTCAAAATGCACAAGAAACTAGGGGTGCGGACCACTTTTGGAGGTTCAGATGTCGAAAAAGTGCACGCCGTTGTGGCGCGAAGCACATTTCGAAGTCAACATGTTAAAAACACTAGGGGTTCGGACCACTGTTGGAGGTTGAGATGTCGAAAAAGTGCACGCCGTTGTGGTGCGAAGCACATTTCGAAGTGAAAATGTTCAAAACACTAGGGGTTCGGACCACTTTTGGAAGTTGAGATGTCGAAAAAGTGCAAGCCGTTGTGGCGCGAAGCACATTTCCAAGTCAAAATGTACAAAACACTAGGGGTTCGGACCACTTTTGGAGGTTGAGATGTCGAAAAAGTGCACGCCGTTGTGGCGCGAAGCACATTTCGAAGTGAAAATGTACAAAGCACACCACCTTCGGACCACTTTCTGAGGTTCAGATGTCGCTTCGCTTCACTACACTACACTACAGACACTACATTACACTACACTACACTCCACTACACTACAGGACATTACACTACACTACACTCCAGTACACTACATTACACTACACTCCACTACGCTAAATTACACTACACCACACTACATTACACTACACTACGCTCCATTCAACTACACTACACTACATCACATTACACTACACTACACTCCACTACATTACATTACACTCCACTGCACTTCACTACCTTACACTACACTACATTCCATTACACTACAACTACAACTACAACTACACAACTAGACTCCACTACACTCCACTACACTCTACTACACTAAATTACGCTACACTACACTACATTACACTGCACTACACTGCATTCCGCCACACTCCACTACACTACATTACACTACACTACACTACATTACACTGAATGACACTGCCCCCCAGATAGACAGGTAGACAGATAGATAGATAGATAGATAGATAGACAGACAGACAGATAGACAGGTAGACAGCTAGACAGATAGACAGATGAAAGGGAGAGATAGATAGATAGATAGATAGATAGATACATAGATAGATAGATAGATAGATAGATAGACTACAGATAGATAGGTAGATAGATAGGTAATTGTATGAAAGAGAGAGAGAGAGGCCAGCTGGGTAGATGAGATAGAAAGATAGATAGATAGATAGATAGCTAGATGGGTAGGTAGATAGATAGATAGATAGATAGAATAGATGGAATGATGGAAAGATGGAAAGATGGATAGATAGATAGATAGATAGATAGATGGCTAGATGGCTAGATGGCTAGACAGATAGATAGATAGATAGATAGATAGGTAGATAGATAGATAGATGGATGAATAGAAAGATGGATGGATGGATATATAGATACATAGATAGATAGATAGATAGATAGATAGGTACCTAGACAGATAGATAGACAGATAGATAGATAGATAGATAGATAGAGAGAGAGATAGATAGATAGATAGATAGATAGATAGGTACCTAGACAGATAGATAGACAGATAGACAGACAGATAGAGAGACAGTTTTGAGCGATAGATAGATGGAGAGATAGATAAATAGATGGATGGATAGATAGATAGATAGAATAGATGGAATGATGGAAAGATGGAAAGATGGATAGATGGATAGATGGATAGATGGAATGATGGATAGATGGATAGATAGATAGATGGATGGATAGATAGATAGATAGATAGGCAGAAAAAGAGAGAGAAAGAGAGGAGACCTCAAGCACCTTTCGGTCCATCAGTGGATTCGCTCTGCCATCCCGGATTCACAACAACCAAGCTCTCCTATAGGTTTCCTATTTTTGAAACTTTCCTCACCGCCTTGTGCGGTACTACTTGTATAGGTGGCCTGATCCCAACGGTTGAAGCTAATTCTAATGTCTTGTGGTGCAAAGTCCGCAGCAAATACCGAGGCAAACCGAGAGCTTCAAGGCGCAAGTCTTCCTGGAAGCCACCCTGAGATATCCGAAGAAGGTGAATCCCGAGGACGAGGCCGACGTGTTGACGATCTTCCAGCGGGCCACTGTGGAGAACTCCTTGGCCAAACCGGAGGATGATGGACATCCAGAGCCAAAGTTCAAGCGGGCCACGGAGAACTCCTTGGCCAAATGGGAGATATGGGAGGAGAATGGACGTCC